CTGTGTAGGATCCTCCTCTGAAGATCTGGGCAGGCGATGCAAAATGCCGCCAATAAAAAGTAGGGGCGCCATTGGTACACTAAGAGAAAACACCATAAGTGTCCGGGGCCCAAAACTGTTCAACAGCCTCCCATCAAGCATTAGGGGAATTACCAATAAACCCCTGGCTGCCTTCAAGAGAGAGCTGGACAGATACCTAAAGTCAGTGCCGGATCAGCCGGGCTGTGGCTCGTACGTCGGACTGCGTGCGGCCAGCAGTAACAGCCTAGTTGATCAGGCCCTGATCCATCGGGAGGCCTGGTCGTGGACCGGGCCGCGGGGGCGTTGATCCCCGGAATAACCTCCAGGTAACCTCCAGGTATCCAGGTAACCCCGAGAACAGCCTACATTCTTCATGACGGATTCAACAAGGCGATGGAAATATTCCTTAGATATTTTAGTTCTTGTTGACCTAATAGCCTCATATAGTTGCTGAAGATCTGTTAACTATACCTTTATGCTGCGAAGCTCCCGTTCCACCACATCCCAAAGATTTACACCAAATTCTGACCCCTACAACCTGCAAGTCACATCAGAAAGCGTCATTTCTTAGCAGACTTCAGTGGAACCCATTATGGCCCTTCTGCTGCTGTAGCCTATCTGCTTCTAGGTTCGAAGTTTTGTGCATTCAGAGATGCTCTTCTGCATACCACTGAAGTAATGGATGAATATTTGAATTATTGTCGCCTTCCTGTCAGCTTTAACTAACCTGGCCATTCTCTTCTGGCCTGATATTTGTAACCTGCTATCTAGAGGATGTTCTGGGTGTTAACCCCCCCGCGGCCCGGTTTATGACCAAGCCTTACGTTAGATCATTGATTGGTCATCCAGGCTGTTATTGTAGGCCCCATGCAATTTACATACGAATTGCAACCCGGCTGGTCAGGTACCGACTTTAGGTATCTTCCCAGTTCCCTCATGAAGATAGCCAGGGGTCTCTTGGTAATGCCCCTTAGATATGCTGGGACGCAGTTGAACAGTTTTGGGTCTCTGACACTTACTATGTTATCTCTTAGTGTACTCATGACACCCCTGCTTTTCATTGGGAATGTTGCACCGTCTGCCGAGTCTTTTGCTTTCGCAGAAGATGATTTCTGTGTACAGATTTGGAATCAATCCCTCCAGGATTTTCCAGGTGAATATTATAATGAATCTTTCTTCACTGCATTCCAGGAAGAACAGGTCAAGTGACATCAAGAATTCCTAGTAATTAAGGTGCTCGACTGAATCAATACATGAAGTAAAGGTTCCTATACAATCTCTATGTCTGTGATTCACCTGCCTTGAATGGAGATGTTAATGTACAGCAGTATTCCAGCCTAGAAAAAACAAGTGATTTAAAAAGGATCATCACTGACATGTCATCCCTTTTTTTGAAAGTTCTCATTATCCAACCTATCATTTATCTCGCTGTTGTGATAGTGACACTGTTGTGATCCTTGAAGGTGAGAGCCTCTGACATTAACACTCCCAGGTCCTTCTGCTCTATTGTGTGGTTAGAATTTGTTTTATACTTCGTTCCAGCTTTTATATCCTCAAGTTTTATATAAGAATAACTGAAATTTCTTTCCAGTAAAGATCATGTTGTTTTCCGTTGCCCATTGAAAGACTTTGTGTACATTCACTTAGAGATTTACCGTGTCCTCGATGGATGACAGACTCATTACAGATTCTAGTATCGTCTGCAAAAGTAGGCACGGAACTATCTACCTGGAAGGCATTCCGGGGATCAACGCCCCCGCGGCCCAGTCCAAGACCAGGCCTCCCAGTGGATCAGGGCCTGATCAACGAGGCTGTTACTGCTGGCCGCATGTAGTCCAAAATATGAACCACAGCCCGGTTGTTCCGGCACCGACTTCAGGTATCTGTCCGGCTCCCTCTTGAAGACAACCAGGGGTCTATTGGTAATGCCTCTGCTATGGTGACCTGTGGCCTGGTAGGCAACGCTCTCGCTTCACACGCTGAGGGTCCGTGGTTCGATTCCCGGCAAGAGTAGTAACATTGAACATAAGAACATAAGAAAGGAGGAACACTGCAGGAGGCCTGCTGGCCCATACTAGGCAGGTCCTTTACAATTTATCCCACTAACAAAACATTTGCCCAACCCAATTTTCAATGCCACCCAAGAAATAAGCTCTGATGTGCAAGTCCCACTCAAATCCAACCCCTCCCACTCATGTACTTATCCAACCTAGATTTGAAACTACCCAAAGTCCCAGCCTCAATAACCCAACTAGGTAGACTGTTCCACTCATCAACTACCCTATTTCCAAACCAATACTTTCCTATGTCCTTTCTAAATCTAAACTTATCTATTTAATTCCATTACTGCGGGTTCTCTCTTGGAGAGACATCCTCAAGACCTTATTAATATCCCCTTTATTAATACCTATCTTCCACTTATACACTTCGATCAGGTCCCCCCTCATTCTTCGTCTAACAAGTGAATGTAACTTAAGAGTCTTCAATCTTTCTTCATAAGGAAGATTTCTAATGCTATGTATTAATTTAGTCATCCTACGCTGAATGTTTTCTAACGAATTTATGTCCATTTTGTAATACGGAAAACCAGAACTGAGCTGCATAATCTAGGTGAGGCCTTACTAATGATGTATAAAGCTGCAGTATGACCTCTGGACTTCTGTTGCTTACACTTCTTGATATAAATCCCAGTAATCTATTGCCTTATTACGTACGCTTAGGCATTGCTGTCTTGGTTTAAGGTTGCTGCTCCACCATAACCCCCAAGTCCTTTTCGCAATCTGTATGGCTAAGTTCTACATCATTTAACTTATAAGTACTAGGGTTATGGGCACTCCCAAGCTTCAGAACCTTGCATTTATCTACATTGAACTGCATCTGCCACTTTTCTGACCAAGAATAGAGTTTGTTTAAATCCTCCTGAAGTTCCATAACATCTACGTTTGAATCAATTATCCTACCTATCTTTGTGTCATCGGCGAATTTGCTCATATCACTAGTAATTCCCTCATCAAGATCATTGATATATGTAATAAAGTTGGTAGAATTACCGACAATATGTAAAGTAAAAGGACACAAGTGCAACTAATGTGACATTTATTGTGGCAACGTTTCGCTCTCCAGGAGCTTTATCAAGCCATTACAAACAATACATGGACACAGAGGGTATATAAAGGCTCAGAGTGAGGTGAATACTAGTGAGGTACCATTTCGATGTTCACTAGTGGTAGTAGTAGTAGTAGTAGTAGTGGTAGTGACAAAAGTAATACAATATGGTAGAGCAATTAATTCGTACATGAGTAAAAGGATATAAAAGCTATTACTTGGGTAACATAAAAACAGGTTGGACAAATATAAACTGGAATGAGGCAGCTTGTTTCAGTGTTCACTTTCTGTGCTTTGTGTAGTATAACAGGAGAGACTATGTGATGGCAGGGTTTACTGTTTTCAGGAGGATTCTTGCTAAGACTTCGGAGATGGTGAAGCTGCCGTTGTTTTGTTTAATTGTATTCGAAACAGCGATCAGTGCTGATTCAAGGCACTTGCGTGTGCGGAAATTAGTTTCTTTTATCACTAATTGGGCGTCTCTGAATTTCATAAGATGATTGGTGAAATTTCGGTGTTGTACACAGGCGTTGTTTAAGTTGTCGTTCCTACATGCGTATTGCGTTGCCACAATAAATGTCACATTAGTTGCACTTGTGTCCTTTTACTTTACATCATTGATATATATTATAAACAACAACGGGCCCAAGACTGATCCCTGTGGAACGCCACTTGTTACAGATCCCCACTCGGATTTAACCCCATTTATGGACACTCTCTGCTTCCTGTCAGTGAGCCATGACTCGATCCACGAGAGCACTTTTCCCCCAATGCCATGAGCTGCCACTTTCTTTAACAGTCTATGGTGCGGAACTCTATCAAAAGCCTTACTAAAATCTAAGTAAATAATATCAAATTCTTTATTGTGGTCAACAGCCTCAAAAGCTTTACTGAAGAAAGTTAATAAATTAGTTAGACAAGACCGGCCTCTTGTGAATCCATGCTGAGTATTCATTAATCAAGCTATGCTTATCGAGATGGCTTCTTATAATCTCAGCTATAATTGACTCTAGTAATTTGCCTACAATTGAGGTCAGGCTTATTGGGCGGTAATTTGACGGTAACGACTTGTCCCCTGTTTTAAAAATAGGAGTTTACATTAGCCATTTTCCACATATCAGACACTAACACCTGTTTGAAGAGATAAATTAAAAATATTAGTTAATGGTTCACAGAGTTCCATTTTGCATTCCTTTAGAACCCTTGAAAAAACCTCATCAGGACCCGGCAACTTATTTTGCTTCAGTCTGTCTATCTGCTTCACAACCATCTCACTAGTGACTGTGATGTTCCATAATTTATCTTCTTCTAGCCACTGTAAAAATTAATTACTGGAATATTGTTAGTGTCTTCCTGTGTAAAACTGAGAGAAATAATTATTTAAAAATCAAGCACATTCATTCTCTTTGTCAGTAAGGTGCCCATTAGTTATTTTTAAGGGGACCTATCTTATCTCTAACTTTTGTTCTATAGACCTGGAAAAAACTTTTTGGGTTAGTTTTAGAATCCCTAGCAACTTTAATTTCATAGTTCCTTTTAGCTTTTTCTTATCCCCTTTTTAATGTCCCTCTTAATGTCAATATACTGATTCATAAGATGACCCTCACCTCTTTTGATACGCCTATAAATTCCTTTCTTATGCCCTAGTAGATATTTGAGCCTATTATTCATCCATTTTGGGTCATTTCTATTTGATCTAATTTCTTTATATGGGATAAACGCTCTTTGAGCAGCATGTATAGTGTTCAGAAAACTGTCATATTGATAGCTCTCTTCGTTACCCCAGTCAACAGATGATAAGTGTTCTCTAAGCCCATCGTAATCTGCTAAGCGAAAATCTGGGACTTTTTTTTTTTTTTTTTTTTTTAATTTTGAATTTTATTGAGATTCTTCAAATCTTTCTGCAGACTGCTTAATATTCCTCATCTTCTTCCTCACCCTCTGCATCAGCAGAGTCCACACCAACTTCTTCGTAGTCTTTCTCAAGGGCAGCAAGATCCTCACGGGCTTCAGTAAACTCTCCCTCTTCCATTCCCTCTCCAACATACCAATGAACAAATGCTCGCTTTGCATACATAAGATCAAATTTGTGATCCAGACGTGCCCAAGCTTCTGCAATTGCAGTAGTGTTAGACAACATGCACACAGCACGTGAAACTTTAGCCAAATCTCCACCAGGGACTACAGTAGGTGGCTGGTAATTAATCCCAACCTTAAAACCATTTGGGCACCAATCTACGAACTGGATCGTTCGCTTTGTCTTTATTGTAGCAATTGCAGCATTTACATCCTTTGGCACAACATCTCCACGGTAAAGCAGACAACAGGCCATGTACTTTCCATGACGTGGATCACATTTTACCATTTGGTTGGCAGGTTCAATGCAGGCATTAGTGATTTCAGAAACTGAAAGCTGCTCATGGTAAGCTTTCTCTGCAGAAATTACAGGTGCATAAGTTACCAATGGGAAGTGGATCCTTGGGTAAGGGACCAAGTTGGTCTGGAACTCAGTAAGGTCAACATTAAGAGCACCATCAAAGCATAGGGAAGCAGTGTGGGTGTGTTTCCTTACACCTGCTGTCCCGTTCACCTATTACAAAAGTAGGTACCTGGGTGTTAGTTGAGTAGTGTGGGTCATATCCTTGAGGACGAGATTGAGGACCACAATTTTAAAAATTGATAGTAGCATCGAGAGAATGGTCGTCTAGCAGTCCCAACCTCGTGCTGGGAGAATTCAGTGGAATTTACCATGTACAACAAAGATTTAGCTGTGAGGAGAGAGCTGAAGAGCTAGTTTGTGAAGCAGTGGTCTTGGAAGTGGTGACCTGTACTTAGCTCAGTGAGGACGTGTCGAGTGTGCTCTCTACAGACTGAACCAAGATGCCCTCCATCGAGCAACTTTACCAACAGCTTAAGGAAGAATTGAGGGTAGCGAAGATGGAGATTCGGTGACTGACCGAGGAAAACAAGAAGATTCGTGGTAGTCCTCCTGTTTTGAGTCCTCAGGTCAAGAAGGAAAACTGGTCAGTGGCTGGACTGCAGGGAACGAAGTTGACGATCAAGAAGATGAATGGACAGGTAGAAACGATGAAGAAGAAAGAGACTGCTCTGGAAACTGTTGTGGAAACATCTAATACATTCTCATTGCTACCCGACGAATGTGAGTTGACTACTGGGAACGTCACGACGAAGGACACCAAGGAAGGTAAGAATATTGTTGTTGTTGGGGATAGCCAAGTTAGGTATATGGATAGGGCGTTCTGCTTGAAGGACAGGAGTAGGAGACAGAGGGTTTGCTTTCCTGGGGCTGGGATGGAGGACATTGTTAGCCGTCTGGATGACATCATGAGAGGTAATGGGAGCAATCCTATTATCTGTCTCAGTGCTGGAGGCAACGATGTTGGCAGACGTAGGAGTGAGGACATGATTAGCAGGTATAGGTCAGCAATAGAAATAATTAGGAGGAAAAGTGGGAACCCTGTCATATGTGGTATTTTGCCAAGGAGAGGAGTTGGAAATGAATGGTTGTCCAGGGCAATTGGTTTCAATTGCTGGCTGGACAAATACTGTAAGGAAAATGCGGTAACATTCATTGACAACTGGGACCTCTTCTAGGGCAGAAATGACATGTATGCAAGGGATGGGGTTCACTTATCTAGGTCTGGGGTGGGGGCACTGGCAACTGCAGTGGAGGGAGCTGTTAGGACTTTAGACTAGGAATAGTTAGTGGTATGGATTTTGGCGGGAAAACAGTGAAGTCCCAGTGTAGTAATATTATGAGTTCTAGGGGAACTAGTAATAAGCAGAACGAGGTAGATATTGAAAAGCCAGTGACACTAGGTGATAAGGACAGTAATAGGTTTAGTAGAAAAACAGAAATGAGCAGGAAGGGTAAAGAGAAAGGAGGGTCTTTCAATGTATATTATGCTAATAGCAGTAGTGCTAGGAATAAGATGGACGAGTTAAGATTAGTTGCTAGTGCAGGTAACATTGATGTATTTGTCATAACTGAGACAAGGTTTAATTCCAAAAGTCGGGACATGCCTGCGGAATGTCACATTCAGGGTTTTAAATTGTTCCAAGTAGATAGAAGTATCAGGAAGGGGGGTGGGGTGGCATTGTATGTCCGAGATCGCTTGAACTGTTGCATAAAAACGGGTATTAAGTCTGAAGTAACACAAACAGAGCCTTGTTGGATAGAATTTTCAGAGGGGCATGAAAAATTGATTTTAGATGCGATATACCATCCCCCAAACATAGATAAGGACCAAGGGAGACTACTATGGGAGGAAATTGTTAAGGCCACAAGGCACGATAATGTAGTAATTCTAGAAGACTTTAATTTTAGTCATATTGATTGGAATTTCTTGACTGGGAATTTAGAATCATACGACTTCTTAGAAGTAGTTCAGGATTGGATGAATCCCTTGTTAATAATTTAGAAATTTCAGAGGAACTTGGTGCTAGCAACCACAAATCAATTACATTTAGCATTGAATGGAAGTATGATAGTAGGGATAACTCAGTAACAGTCCCAGATTTTCGCTTAGCAGATTACGATGGGCTTAGAGAACACTTATCATCTGTTGACTGGGGTAACGAAGAGAGCTATCAATATGACAGTTTTCTGAACACAATACATGCTGCCCAAAGAACGTTTATCCCATATAAAGAAATTAGATCATATAGAAATGACCCAAAATGGATGAATAATAGGATGAAATATCTACTAGGGCATAATAAAGGAATTTATAGGCGTATCAGAAGAGGTGAGTCATCTTATGAATCAGCATATTGATATTAAGAGGGATGTTAAAAAGAGAATATGAAAAGCTAAACGGGGCTATGAAATTAAAGTTGCTAGGGATTCGAAAACTAACCCAAAAAGTTTTTTCCAGGTGTATAGAACAAATATTAGAGATAAGATAGGTCACCTTAAAAATAACTATGGGCATCAAGGGATAAGTCATTACTGTCAAATTACCGCCCAATAGGAAAAATGTGCAAAAGAAAAAACATATAATGTTATTTCATGCTAACAGTTGAAGTGCAATAAATAAGATTCAATGAACTACGTTTGATAGCATGTGCTGGGAACTTCGATGTCATTTTATTAACTGAAACGTGGTATGATTTAAAGAGTCGGGATATGATTGCTGAGTGCAATATTCAAGGGTTTAAGTTGTTCCATGTGGACAGATGTTGTGGGAAGGGGGGAGGAGTTATTATATGTTCGAGAAAATATTAACTGTTGCATAAAAACAGGCATAAAAATAGATGGAACAGCAACAGAATCTGTTTGGGTAGAGTTTGTAGAAGGTCAAGAAAAGCTAATTCTTGGTGTAATATACGGACCTCCAGGCTTGGATCACAATAGAGGGAGACTTCTTTGGGACGAAATTGTTAGGGCTTCTAGACACAATAACATAGTGATTGTAGGGGATTTTAACTTTAGTCAAATAGACTGGATTTCTTTGACCAGTAATCTAGAGTCCAGTGACTTTATGGAAACAGTCCAAGACTGTTTTCTGAAGCAATATGTAACAGAGCCTACCAGGGGTAATAATTTGCTTGACCTAGTCTTGTCAAATAAGGAAACACTCGTAAATAATCTAGAGTCCAGTGACTTTATGGAAACAGTTCAGGACTGTTTTCTGAAGCAGAGCATATCAACAAGGCCAACAGGGGATATATCATTGAAGTGTATAAGTGGATGATGGGCATAAACAAGGGAGATATTAATAAAGTACTGAGGGTGTCAAACCAGGTAAGAACCAGAAATAATGGATTTAAGTTGGATAAATTTAGATTTGGAAGGGACATAGGTAAGTACTGGTTTTCTAACAGAGTTGTAGATGGTATAAACCTTGGTAATAAATACCGACAAGTTGGTTTAGAAAGACACGTAAGCAAACACTATGACATATTTATTAGAAAACGTTTCGGTCCTGGGACCGAAACGTTTTCTAATAAATATGTCATAGTGTTGCTTACGTGTCTTTCTAAACCAGAGTTGTAGATGTGTGGAACAGTCATCCCAGTGGAGTGATAGAGGCTAGGACCCTGTGTAGCTTTAAGAAGAGATTGGACAAGTATATGAGTGGGAGGGGCTGGGTTTGATTGGTGTCATTGGGTACGGGAGTTATTTCTTGCATAGCTTTAGGTAGAGGTTGTTTTGATAAGGACCTGCCTCACATGGGCCAGTAGGCCTTCTGCAGTGTTCCTCCATTCTTATGTTCTTATGAGGCCTCACTAGTGATGTATAGAGCTGTAAAATAACTTTTGAACTTCTGTTACTTATACTTCTTGAGATAAATCCAAGTAATCTGTTGGCCTTGTTGTGCACACTAAGGCACTGCTGTCTTGGCTTTAGATTTCTGCTTACCATTACTCCCAAGTCTTTTTCACATTCAGTATGATCAAGCTCTACTTCACCTAGATTATAGCTTCGAGGGTTATTTTCATTACCAAGGGCTAGTACTTTACACTTATCCACATTGAACTTCATCTGCCATTTTTCAGACCAAGACATTAATTTGTCCAAGTTCTCCTGGAGTTCATTGCTATTCTCCTCAGAGTGAATTATATGGCCTATCTTTGTATCATCAGCAAACTTACTCATGTCACTCGTAATCCCTTCATCAAGGTCATTAATGTAAATTATGAACAAGAGAGGGCCTAAAACTGATCCTTGTGGAATGCCGCTGGTGACTAATCCCCATGGTGACGTGTACTTAGCTGAGTGGTGACGTGTACTTAGCTCAGTGGTGACGTGTACTTAGCTCAGTGAAGACCTGTTTGCGCGCTCTCTACAAATTGAAGCAAGATGCCCCACATCGAGCAACTTTACCAACAGCTTAAGGAAGAATTGAGGATGGCGAAGATAGAGATTCGGCGACTGACCGAGGAAAACAAGGAGATTCGTAGTAGTCCTCCTGTTTTGAGTCCTCAGGTCAAGAAAGGAAACTGGTCAGTGGCTGGACAGCAGGGAACGAAGTTGACGATCAAGAAGACGAATGGACAGGTAGAAACGATGAAGAAGAAAGAGACTGCCATGGAAACTGTTGTGGAAACATCTAATACATTCTCAGTGCTACCCGACGAATGTGAGTCGACTGCTGGGAACGTCATGACGAATGACACCAAGGAAGGTAAGAATATTGTTGTTGTTGGGATAAACCAAGTTAGGTATATGGATAGGGCATTCTGCTTGAAGGACAGGAAATAGGAGACAGAGGGTTTGCTTTCCTGGGGCTGGGATGGGGGATATTGTTAGGGCCATCTGGATGAATCATGAGAGATAATGGGAGCAATCCTATTGTCTGTCTCAGTGCTGGAGGCAACGATGTTGGCAGACATAGGAGTGAGGACATGATTAGCAGGTATAGGTCAGCAATAGAAATAATTAGGAGGAAGGGTGGGAACCCTGTCATATGTGGTATTTTGCCAAGGAGAGGAGTTGGAAATGAATGGTTGTCCGGGCAATTGGTTTTCAATTGCTGGGTGGCAAATACTATAAAGGAAAATGCGGTAAAAATTCATTGGCAACTGGGACCTCTTCTATGGCAGAAATG